ACATCTTCAGTATTTTCAATTTAAAACATAATCATATAAATTTAAATTTAATTACATGACGTACGATTATGACTACAAGATATTTATTAAATTTAATTTATATATTTTCATTAAATATGAATAACAATTTCTTGTGTGGTACATTATGTAGAAAGTGTCACGAGCGTGATGAGGCTATGAGAGCGTAATCTTTTGTGAAAACAAAATTGTAATAAATGGATTTTTAAAAAGATATCCTTTAACATTAATAGTAATCTCTTAAACAGTTAATGTGACTGATAAACACTTACAGTTAACATAATTGTATCGCTTCAATATGAGTAATAATTTGAGATCTGCAATATTGAATAAGGTACTACATCATTATTTTACTTTGACTTGAAAAATATAATTTTACACATTTAAAATTATTAAATGCAAGACAAGTTTCCATTAATTTTATGTAGGTTATGTTAAATTTTTTTGTTATTTACCGGTCACTTCAAAAGCTGATTAAAAGCATATTAATTATATGTCATCATGTTGCAATACATTCTGTTTAAAAGTTATTTTATAATTTTATGTAAAGTATACAAAATTTGTGGAATAAGTACGATTGTATGCTATGGAAACTTATTTCTGTCTTTCTTTCTAGGTTATGAAATCGTTACATAGTGTAAACAATGAACATCGACATAAGATTTCGTCGGCGCTTTATGTAAATCTCAATCAAACAAATGACACGTATTATTTTGCATTTCCATTGAAATCAATCTACTATAATGCAATGGATGATATACAAAACATTACAAGAAATGATTTTGAAAATACTATTGATCATATTACAGTAGAAAATAATATTGCTTATTTTGCTATACCAAGAAATCAGTATATAAAAACGATTATAGAAAATAATCTTTCTGGTCCATCACCACCAGTCATTCCCGAGAATAATAAAAATATTATAGTAGAATTTAGTTCTCCGAATATTGCTAAACCTTTTCATTTAGGACATTTACGTTCTACAATTACAGGGAATTACATTGCTAATGTAAACAACTTCTTACAAAATAGAGTTAAGAGATTAAATTATTTGGGAGACTGGGGAACACAATTTGGTTTTATTCAACTAGGAATTGAACTAGGAAATATTGATAGTAATGAAATTCATGCAAATCCTATTAAGTCTTTGTATAAGGCATATGTATTAGCTCATGAATTAGCTGAGACAGATCCAACAATGAATGACCGTGCTAAAGAAATATTTAGGAAATTGGAATTTGGAAATAGTACTACTTACAAAGAATGGCAAACATTTAAAGATTACACTGTACAGGAATTGGAGAAAACATATAAGAGATTAGGTATATCATTTGATGAGTACCATTGGGAATCTATGTATACTGCATCAAATACAAAGAAGATTATTAGCTTAATGGAAGAAATGAAATTATTAATGCTAGATAAAGAAAATAGAAAAGTGATAAGTGTAACTGCAGATAGAAATATACCACTTATTAAAAGTGATGGATCTACTTTGTACATAACTCGAGATATTGCTGCTGCAATTGATAGATTTGAAAAAAATAATTTTGATGCCATGTATTATGTAGTAGATAATGCTCAGACTGATCACTTTTTAAATTTAATGCAAATTTTAAATCAAATGAAATTACCTTGGGCAAATAGATTAAAACATATCAAGTTTGGAAGAGTTCGTGGGATGAGTACAAGAAAAGGAACTGCAGTATTTTTGGAAGATATATTAAACGAAGCACAGGAAATTATGAGAGAAAGACAAATGATAAAAACTAGTAAATATGTTTCGTTTCTATATTTGTAATACTATTCATGTAAAAGTTTCTTTTAAAATTTAAATAATTCAGCTCAATGTAGATAAGTCAAATTAAATGTAACATAAAATGAGTAATCATTTTCTTTCAGCAACTAAAGTTTCTTTAGATGAAATGGATAAGGTTTCTGATATTTTGGGTATCTCTGGTATACTCGTTTATAATTTGATGCAAAGAAGAATGAAAGACTATGAGTACAATTGGAATTTAATGTTTCAAGTAAATCATTTTGGTAACTCATTATTTTTATTAGTTATATGTTTTATATCTACATAATATAAATTATTATTAGATGAAAGGTGATTCTGGAATAAAATTACAATACGTACATTGCCGCTTAACTAGTTTGGAACGCTATTCTGGTGCCACTTTAACGACAGAATGTGATCCAAGTCTTTTAAAGGAACCAGAAGTTGATGACTTAATTATATTGATCAGTAGATTTGATGAAGTCATACTTCAATCTTACGAACAATTCGAGCCATGTGTACTAGTGGTATATCTTATGCAGTTAAGGTCAGTATCACTACAGTCAATGAAAAATAATAATTTTGTATATATCAAACAATTCAAGATAGTTCCTCATATCACAACATTTCTTTTAAAATAGTAATACAATTAATAAAGCATTAAAAAAGTTGAGAATGAAAGGTGAACCATCAGACGTAGCAAATCAAAGATTACTGTTATTTCATACATCACGACTGATTCTCGCCGAAGGTATGAAATTACTTGGTTTAACACCATTAGAGAAAATGTAAATGAAGTATTCTGTACAATGTAGATTATTTGTTATATTGAAAAATATATATAAAAATTTATAAAGGATTATCATGTTCTATATTTACAGCATCTTTTTCGATATTTATTGGTATTATTCGAAAGAGGAAAGTTCAATGCAGTATGCGAATGTCAGGCTATCATTGACGAAAATCATCTAATGACATAAAACTACTTGGATTTTATTGCTTCGGTACCATGAATTTTTACCTTACTTTCTAAGATTTATATTACTAAATATCTGCATAATTCTCATGAAATCTGACATTCCTGCACTGCATTGAACCTTCTTATTTTGAATGATACCAATAAACATCGAAAAAGATGCTGATTTAAAGTAGTAAGTGTCACCCCATGAACCTATGTTTTCATCTTATTTTGTTGGTAACTGTGTCCTCTACCGTTACCTCCACACTAGGGAACCTGCCACCTGTCTCAGAATTGTCTCTGTATCATCTGTAGACAATTTTGACGAATGGTTTGAGCGTTTTGCCACAGCAGGAATTGGCGCTATAGGGAAGTTTGAAAATTGCAGTAAATTCGTACCGGATTTTACATTGCCTCTTATGGGAAAAGTGGCACGAATTATTTGTTCTGATATTTGGTATTGAAACATGAAATCGAAAATGTTATTACAAGTACGTTGCTGGAGATCCTTGTTGGATTAATAAAAATGAGGATCATTCGATTTTCAGGAAATGGGTGTGGACATTTCTGTACTTTTAGAATATTTTTGAGCCGTCAAATTTCCCCGAAAAAGGTAGATTCAGAACAAGTAGAATTCCGATTATCCATATGCTTGAAAGCGAAACAATGTCGAATAATGATCATCGATAATCATCCGGATAATCGAAACTCTGCTGTATTTAATACAATTTTAACTGATTGATTTATTGATTAGCTATACTTCGTCGTTCAACAAACGAAATTATCTCAATGTTGGTTATCGAAACAAATAAAAGATACTTTACAAGAATTAACAGAAATCTATTCGTATAATTTTCAATGTACAGAAAAATGAAAGAACAATATTAACGTTTCTTCCACGTGAATTTTCTTCGAGCTCCTTCCTGTCCAAACTTCTTCCTTTCACGTCTTCGAACATCCTTTGTCAGAAGGCCAGCTATATAAGCACATAAAACACGTTTTAGAACACATTTTCCATTAATCTTAAGAATATTTTCTAATTAAAGGATCTTATTAGAATAATTCTTATTTTCATAACAACGAAAATTTTGTTTAAATATACTTATTAACTGCATAACTGATTCTGGAAATCTTTCTGGTTCGAAAGTATTTTCGCAATATTTTTCTTAACAATTTACAAATTAATGAATTCATATTGTGCACATGCAGTAAAAAACGTTCTAAAATTTTTGAAACGTAATAACATAATGTATACATTTTTCATGTAGTTGAAATAACTAAAGCGTTACCAAATGAATTTAATGACCGTTCTCAATGCCACTTTGTGAATTGCACCTAGAAATTAATGCTTTAATAAAGAGCGCGCAGTAATAACTCCATGCGGGTTTCTTTGTGTATTATATATATATATATATATATATATATATAAATTTCAAAATTTATTACCGAAAGCTTGCTTTCTTCCCTTTCTAAATTAGTGGTTTGATTTGATCTAAATTATAAGTAAATCTGTAATGAAAAAATTTATATTTTTCTTACCAATTCTCATTTTTTCTATCATCTCAGTATCGACAAAGTTTCGAAGCCCATATGCAATTCCCCAACGAACAGCACCGGATTGTGCAGAAGGGCCGCCACCAGAAACGGTTGCTTCAATATCAACTTTGCCGCCCATATCCGTAAATACTAATGGGAATACAATCTGCAAACAAAATCAAATCACGTTAATTACACGGCAAGAGAGTGCTCGACTCTTATTCAGAAATGAATAAATTTGATTATCCACGAGAGAATCGAGAGTACATGAATCCGAACCGAATTCGATTGTTATATACAGTTTTAATAAAAAGGATAATATTAATTTAATTACCTAAATAATTTAGAATTTCTTACAGTGAATCGGGTCCATTGATAATTTTGATAAAACTATTCGAATAATTGTTGTATTGCGTCAATTTAGCCACTATACAACCATCGAGAAGGACTTTATGAAAAGAACAACGGTTTAGGAATCTTCCGATACTAATTATTAAATTAAGTGGTTCGTTATAAATATCTATCTGAAATGTCATAAATATTATTTATAAAATGTACAACTACTAACATCATTATTTCGTTACATAACAATTACAAAGCATTGTTAAATTTGTATAGTAGGTGTCCCTTTTTGTTTTCACTTTCACCTCCACTGTTCGTTTTCCCCTTATCGATCGTTCTCAAAATACTTCGTTTTCAAGACATCCTCACAGAAGGTTCATTGATCGAGCCGTTTTTTTTGTTGCAATACTTTATGTCGCTCGGAACGTGCACCGGTTATCATTTAATTTCAGCACGAATCCGAAATTGATATACGGGGCCGAAGTATTTGCGTATGTTCAATGTCAGTACCTAAGGGGGGACGTGTCAGTTTCGTTTTTCCTTGGTCAGATTCTTCACAACATTTTCCAACGTTTTGTTAGTGTCCAAAAGCTGCTCCTTCAACGACTTGATGGTTTCCTCGTAGGACTGCAGCTTGTTGGCCAGGTTCTCGACGACCAGCTGCAAATTCGAGTCCGAATATTCCTCGCTTTGCTGTCTCATCCACATCACGTGGTCGCTGAGACTGATACTGTCGTCGTTCATGAACGGTATATTCTTCTGAGCGATTTCGTACGCCGCCTTTAGGATGTCCTTCGGCAGCCTCTTCTCCAAAGGGTTCAGCGGTTTCACCACTAGAACTCTCTTCCTGTTCTCCACGTTGATCTTGTGGTCGGACATCCACTTGCGAAAAGCGTACGGTATGGAACTGTTATGAAGGACCATCTCCGTGAAGAGGATCAGTTTGGTCTGTCGCACCAGTTTCGTGAGGCCGGCATGGTTCCTCAGCCCTTGAATGTCGTGGACGGCGATGCCGACCAGCAGGTTCATCAGGATTACGGTAACAAACACGATGAACAAAGTGAACAGGATCTGCGAGCAAACCGAGAGAGGATGGTAAATCACGAACGGTCCCTCGGTCTCCTGGTCGATCTGCGTGATCAGACCCTCGAAGTCCAGCTCGCCGGCCATCATGGCCAGCACTTTGATCAGTCCGGTGAACGGGTTGCCGAACGATGGTTCCCCGACGAAGATCACGCAGAAACTAACGGTGAAGCCTATTAGCAGCCCGGAGTAGGCCAGCAACAGTTTCGCGAACTCGAACTGTATGTGGGTGAACATGGCCACGTAGGTGCCGAAAGCCGGCAACTGGCCGACCATCAGCATCAGGTTGGTCCACGCGCAGAGTATCGCGAACGCTCCGACGTAGTTCTGCCAATCGTAGGTGCGGCCGGTGTACACGAACGAGGTGACGAACACGCTGATGATGACGACACCGTCCAGGACGTTGTCGATGTTCGAGAAGTACTGTTTCGCCGACGTGTATACCATGAAGCCGAATATTTTCCTGGGTATGGAGATACAGGTGAAGATGAACAGAAGGTACCACTGGATCTCGATGGCAGGCCTCCTGAACAGAAAGCCGGACAGCCGTTTGCTGTTGCAGATCTTCGAGCTGCTGGCGTCGTCGTAATTGTAACACTTGTAGGCGAGCGCGGTGAGCACGTAAGTGGTCATGCAGATCACGGTCATGGCGTACAGGAGGATCCTGAGCAGATAAAACTTACGGATCTTCTCCCATTTCAGATGGAGGAAAGCCATCACCAGCGGATGCGACAGCAGGTCTTTCCGGCGTTCTTGCACGAAGGTGTTGATGAAGCTGGTCTCGCACTGGTTGCCGCTGGGGAACAGCAGGTCGAAGTGCAGCCTCATCTCGAACTCCCTGTTGTGGGGCACGGGTCTCCGGAGCGTGATCGACGCGTCGAGCCTCTGCCTGAAGACCTGCAGGGACTCGGGTATCTTCCTGAGTATGATGTTCAGAGCGGACAAGCCCGCGCTGGTGGTCGCGCTAACATCCGCGCCAGCCCAGATCAACACGTCCACGCAATGGGACTGTTCGTTGAGCGCGGCGACATGAAGAGGAGTGAAGCCGGTCCGGTCGGCGGCGTTGACCAGGGCGCCGCGTTTCAGCAGGACGTCGACCAGCTTCGCGGAGGAATGGGTGGTCATCACGGCGAAATGTAGCGGCGTCCTGTGCGCCCTGTCCACAGCGTTGATGTTGGTACCGGGCGAGTCGAGCAGCAGTTCGACGCACTCGATGGACTGGACGAAGCAGGCCACGTGAAGAGGCGTCTCGCCCATATGGTTCTTCTCGACGACGCTGGCTCCGCGGTCCAGCAACAGCTTCACTATCTCGACCGCGCCCGCTCTGATCGCGGAGTGTAACACCGGCTCGACGATCTCCTGATAAAGGCAGGTGGTCGGTTTCGCGCCGTTGTCGAGCAACACGCGCGCAGCGTCCGCGGAGTTCCTGTGAATGGCGAAGTGAAGAGGCGTGTAGTAATTGATCGGATTTCGGCAATTCACGTCGGCGCCCTGTTTTATCAGGTGCTCGATACAGGTGACATTACCGCTGAGGGACGCTGCGAGGACCGCGTTCATGCCGGTGCAGGGCACCGCGTAATCGGGGCACGCGCCGATCTGCTCGAGCTTCGGCAGCAGGTGCGTCATGCCTCTGTAACAGCACCACACGTAGGCGATGTTCTTTATCCGTTCGCCGGCCGGTAACTCTGGCAGCGCGTTGCACTTCTCCAGCTCGAGCAGCAGCTTCATCTCCGCGGTGGTGAGGATCGACCACATTCTCGAGGTCAGGTCATTCCCGTTGATGTGAGCCTGCCGGAACACGTCCAGGTTGTCGTAGAACAACGACTCGTCGACCGGCGGCGGTGTACCGGCGTCGATCTCGATCCGATCGTTCACCGCGTCCGCCCGAGGAGCGTCGTTGAACACGATCTTCTCGGAGTTGCTGTTCTGTCTGTATCTGACGGACCTGAACGTCGGAGCTAGCCGCGTTGACAGAAGATCGTTCGAACGGTCGTTCAAGTTGGACATGGAACAATGCCGGACCTTTCCATCGAGGGCCTGCGGCAGCTTCAAGGTGTGCACGGTCGCTTGTTGCTCGTCGAGCTCCTTCTCCACCCGCAGGTCTTTGTCTTCGTCGAAGTAGAGGCAGGAACGTCGGCTCTTCAGTCTGGTCAACGAATAGTGTCTGGTTCGCTTTTCGTGGCTCGTCAACGATTTTATCATCCTCGTCCGGATCGTTCTGTCAACATCGTCGTCGACCACCTCTGCGTCGTTCTTCTTCGCCGTTGCTCGCCGATAATCGTTCTCGTCGAATGACAGGCGACGATCCCTCAGGCTGGTCAACGAGTAACACCGCGGTATTCCCTCGTTGTTCACCGACGATGTTCTCAGGCTGATTTTGGGCAGATTCTCCGCTATCTTGTCCTCCATTCCTCCCGTTCAGTAGCCCCTTTTCGCCGTGGACGTGGAAGAAACTGCGACGTAACGCAACGCACTCTCCGCTGTCGCGTACCGCAGCCACGGTGGAACGTTCATGCCAATCGTCATACCTCGGCCTCACTCTTTTCTTCGTTTATCACGTCACGTCCCAAAGTCATTTGGATCACTTTAAGAGAATGCTCCCGTCATTACGGTACACGCGACTGCTGGTGTCACTCGTCCGAGTGACTTATATTGGTCGCCTCCGTATGGGATTCATTCTATATATAAGCTGATAGGAAAAGACACGCTTCCATTCGACGGATTGTCCTTCGTCGAATAGAGACCTTGAACTTAAAAACCAACGGAACAGATGTCACAACGCTAGCCGGTGTTCGTTGCGACCGACAAGACTTTCTCTGGCTCGGTCTTCGACGGAGTCTCCTCTGCCCTTTGTTCCCCCGCGGGTCAACGGGATTCTCGATTCNTTGATCGGATTTCGGCAATTCACGTCGGCGCCCTGTTTTATCAGGTGCTCGATACAGGTGACATTACCGCTGAGGGACGCTGCGAGGACCGCGTTCATGCCGGTGCAGGGCACCGCGTAATCGGGGCACGCGCCGATCTGCTCGAGCTTCGGCAGCAGGTGCGTCATGCCTCTGTAACAGCACCACACGTAGGCGATGTTCTTTATCCGTTCGCCGGCCGGTAACTCTGGCAGCGCGTTGCACTTCTCCAGCTCGAGCAGCAGCTTCATCTCCGCGGTGGTGAGGATCGACCACATTCTCGAGGTCAGGTCATTCCCGTTGATGTGAGCCTGCCGGAACACGTCCAGGTTGTCGTAGAACAACGACTCGTCGACCGGCGGCGGTGTACCGGCGTCGATCTCGATCCGATCGTTCACCGCGTCCGCCCGAGGAGCGTCGTTGAACACGATCTTCTCGGAGTTGCTGTTCTGTCTGTATCTGACGGACCTGAACGTCGGAGCTAGCCGCGTTGACAGAAGATCGTTCGAACGGTCGTTCAAGTTGGACATGGAACAATGCCGGACCTTTCCATCGAGGGCCTGCGGCAGCTTCAAGGTGTGCACGGTCGCTTGTTGCTCGTCGAGCTCCTTCTCCACCCGCAGGTCTTTGTCTTCGTCGAAGTAGAGGCAGGAACGTCGGCTCTTCAGTCTGGTCAACGAATAGTGTCTGGTTCGCTTTTCGTGGCTCGTCAACGATTTTATCATCCTCGTCCGGATCGTTCTGTCAACATCGTCGTCGACCACCTCTGCGTCGTTCTTCTTCGCCGTTGCTCGCCGATAATCGTTCTCGTCGAATGACAGGCGACGATCCCTCAGGCTGGTCAACGAGTAACACCGCGGTATTCCCTCGTTGTTCACCGACGATGTTCTCAGGCTGATTTTGGGCAGATTCTCCGCTATCTTGTCCTCCATTCCTCCCGTTCAGTAGCCCCTTTTCGCCGTGGACGTGGAAGAAACTGCGACGTAACGCAACGCACTCTCCGCTGTCGCGTACCGCAGCCACGGTGGAACGTTCATGCCAATCGTCATACCTCGGCCTCACTCTTTTCTTCGTTTATCACGTCACGTCCCAAAGTCATTTGGATCACTTTAAGAGAATGCTCCCGTCATTACGGTACACGCGACTGCTGGTGTCACTCGTCCGAGTGACTTATATTGGTCGCCTCCGTATGGGATTCATTCTATATATAAGCTGATAGGAAAAGACACGCTTCCATTCGACGGATTGTCCTTCGTCGAATAGAGACCTTGAACTTAAAAACCAACGGAACAGATGTCACAACGCTAGCCGGTGTTCGTTGCGACCGACAAGACTTTCTCTGGCTCGGTCTTCGACGGAGTCTCCTCTGCCCTTTGTTCCCCCGCGGGTCAACGGGATTCTCGATTCCCTTTTTTTTTTTCCTTGAAAGGTCGATACTCCGAACTCACGGTTGTCTTCCAATGCTACCTCAAGTGCCGCGTCTCCTCGTGGCTATCTGCGCAGAAAGTTTCGACATATGGTCTTCGTTCTCCTCTTTACCTTTCCTCGAACACTCTGAACGCATTTGGATAAAGAACGATCTCGAGGATTGAAATCAACGTGGGTTCTCCGAGAAAAAGCTAGCTGTTGCTCACCCGCTTATTTCGTTCACTTCAGTCCGAGCTTCTACAAGTACTATCGGGGCAGCTAATTGTGTAAAATATAAAATCACGTCACACCTAGCAACTAAGTTATGCAAGAACGTCGGTCATTAGTATTGATTGGTTCCGTCATATGCTGAACAAAAATCACTATGATCGAACTACGATTGAACGGAGCTAATTTGCCCGGTGCGGCGCGCGCGTGTTCGCCGTAATCGCTCGAGGAAAGCGAAACGGGGAAGAGGACACGAAGAATTACGAATTCCGCACGACGCGATTCCGGTTCGCCCGCGAAACGAGCCATTTGCATGCGGAGAACTTTTCAACTTTGTATGAGATATGTTGTCGCAATTATGGTAATTATTGTGCGCGAACTGCCGGTGCATAAGCCTTGCGAGCAAAGCGGGACTCGACACGCTGAAACGAACGGCTCTCGTAAATTTTTTAAGAGTGAATCTGTTTCTTCGTATCGCGGAGAGAAAAGTGATAAAAAATTGAGTACAGTCCCGTCGATCGTGCTTCGATCGAAGTGTTTGAAATTGTCAATGCGAGTCGCGTGCGTAAAAAAAACAAAAAACATTAATATCGTAACTACTCGTTTCTGCACGAACGAAAGGCAATATAAAATTCACGAACAAATAAATTACATGTATATGTGTTCCGAAGCGCGCGTGGCCATGTCCATAAACACGTTCTTATCGAATTTAAATGAATTATTTACGCGTATCTATGTTTTAGTGTTACTCGAGTTCGCTACTTTACTTTTAGTTAGTTACTTTACTTTAGTGTTACATCGAACAACGTTAGAAATCAACGAACGAAAACCGTAGATTTTTCTGAAGATCCGACATTATTCGACCCCACGATCAACTTCAATTCTCGATAATCGAATACCAAATAACGATTTTGAATTCTTACATAGGGCAGCCGCCATCTTCCATTGTCGCAGCGTCTGTGCCGATTGTTTTTTGAAGATTATAGTATTCGATTACAGTTTTACTGGAACGATTCACTGTCACATCAACGAAGCTGTACGTTGATTTCACTGGGTGTGCGATTTTCGACGTTTCGTACGTCAAACGAACGTTTGCCGATGATATTTCGAATCACTGATCGATTGGGATCGATGATAAAAGAAATGAAAAATCAAGTCGAGAAGTCGAAACCGCGGAGACACGTAACGACTGGACAAGAGTCCGCGCGGATGTGAGCCTTTAGACAGATCCACCGGACTTAAAGATGTTCCGTAAAATCTAGATACACTCACGGAGCCTGAAACACAGCGTCCTTGTTCAATTCCATCACGGTTGGTAATTGTGCGCTATCATCGTGCAGTCCGTAAGATGTTCATGATTTCATACGAATTGGAACCGGTTTTTCTCTCTCCAGCAGTTCAGAACCGTTTCACGAATTTCAATGGGCACATCCGAATATGCTGGATCTAAACTAGGTTCTCGCCGCCATCTTGGTCATCGCCGTGCATTGAAATACTTTGCACAATGTGCAAATCGTCGCTGCACACGCGACACCGTTTGTTCTGTTTAAACTCATTCAGTATCAATGAAATCAAACCATTTTTATTTGCATAAGTGTTTAGTAATTACGAAGGTCGAAATAAAAAGGAATCGAACCTTTGAAAATCGTGTAAACTATCCTCGTACTGTGAATGTTTATGCATTTGCAGACAGTTCAAGTACGATAGTAAGCACGATAAAAGATAAAATGTTAAGATAAAGAACAAATAAATTGATAGGGTGTTTTCCAACTGGGAAAATAAATTCGAACTTGCGAAACGCGTTTTAAGCTACGAGTTTGTACTTACAATATTATAATGATTACCATTGTAGTAAGCGAGGGTGGCCTTTGATTACACACACAATGTTAGTAGTTTGCTAAAGTTATTGTTTTAAGTTCGATGGTCCGAACCTGTGCCAAGAAACAAGGCATTGTTAAAACGTTCACGTATTTCGAAGGATTATTTTACGAGCTCTAGGATAATCCTCGAGCATGAGTAAACCAAATTCGTGTTCAGCATTGCGTATCACAAAGCAGAAGTCATATTTTATCTTGCTTCTTGAAGGACATACTTAATACTTATCGAAATGAAGGTGTTAATGGCTCTTTCATTGATCCATTTCAAAAAGATACTTTTCGTCTTGTAAGCTAGTCGATTTTCCAGATTTTCTAGAATCAACTAATAATCGCGTGTTCCATGAGGAATTTTATATGTTTGTTATCTGCGGTTCAAAAATATCGCACACGCATTAAATCTCATTGACTTGCGTTCTGATGAAATTATCATGCCGGTATTCAAATGTCTATTACCCTTGGTAGAACAAATTGGTTGGTAACAGTGTCACACGTGGGATCTACGGATCCAGCGAAACGTAATCGTTTTTCATTACCGATACATTAACTGTTAAGTGTGATCAAATAATTGAAATCATTGGGACAATTTGTAATGATTGACAACCTTTTCTATGCACAGAAGATTTTCATATGCAAATGGCGTGCAACTAGACTAGTCAAGGCGGATCAACGACGTGCACTATCGTTCGAATTATAATTTGCTGCGTCGAGAAATTAGGTTTTTGAACATATTTTGAAATGTAGTTGACAACGACTGAAGTTAGCAAAATCAGTCGACTCATCCTTAACATGACTAGACAAACTAGAGGATGCATTTCTGGAATAGAAATTGTAAATCATTTTGGAAAATTTACATTTTAACAATAGCTCACGGATAGTAGAATGAAAATCGAATAGATTATTGAAACTACTGTTGAGATATTTTTGAGTAGACTGTACAACATCGGTGATGCAACCGAGAGGGGGGTGATTTTATATTTAAAAAAAACAAATCGAAAACAAAGAATAAAATTTTTTCAATTGAGGTTTTGTCGTCGCGAAAATCGATTTTGAATATTCAGCATTTTCGACCATTTTTGCATTAATAAAGTTAGTAACTAAATCACAGGTTTTATTTTCACTTAAATCCACTTTGAATCCATAGACTGAAATGAGTAACGCAGTACATAATATTGATACTAATATTGTATTAGTACTATTTACAAGTGACATGTGACATGTATCGAGATCCATTCATCTAAACCATAATTACTTGTATGCCTACTCGCTGAATATTCAAAATCGATTTTCTCGATAACGAAGCCTCAAATGAAGAAATTGTATTTCTTTTTTCGAGTAGAATCACATTCTTCTCGGTTGCACCATCGACGTTGGGATACCCTGTATACTGTGGTATTTATCTCATTCACGAATGTATTTCATAATAAACTGTAAATGATACTTTTCGGCAAAACAGCTAAATTCTTGCTTCGGAACTTGTTGACCGAGCTCGAGGCTATATCGACAAGGATAGCTAAAGAAGCACGTGTTTGAATGCTTAATTACCGAAAGATAGACCGAGGTATCGGATTCTGAGAAGTAGTTATCAAGCGTTTTTGTAATTAAAACTTGTTAGCGATCATTCAAAGAAAATGTTTCTCGCGAATTGCATCGACGCAATGTTTTTCTCTTATTTCTGTTCAGAATACCATGGAATCATTTTAATTATAAACTCAATAAGTGAAAGTTGAAAGTCTAACCCGTGGTAAGACACGGATTATTTTAGGTCAGTCAGCATCCACAAAAATTTCCACGGGAACAAGTTCGATAAATTTTTGTATATGTCCTATTAATTTTACACACCAGACACAAGTAAATGTCAAACGACCGGTTTCAAATTGTTTATCCTGCAATTATTAACAGTAGATAGATGTATTCGAAAATTGTGCAAAATGTAAACATCACTTTTCTGAAACTATTCAAGAATGCAGTTGCGCAATGTTTCCAGAAAATTTGTAGTCGATAACTAATTTGCAGAAAGTATATTTGCGTTCACGGTCTGTTGATCTTTTCACAATGGATGTCGGAAATAAACCGTGAGAACCGTTAAATTCTATACATCCGATTAACGTGTCGATTTAGATTCCGCCTCCGTTCGACATCTCGTTTTTCATTTCGGTAGATACACATCTTGCGAAACGTGTTCAGGGTGACTAATATTTCGTCTCTACGGGTAGAGGCCAACACGATTGGGCAATATTATTCGTAACTGCCACGTAGGTGAAACAAGATCACCATATACTTCCGAAGTAACAAGATTTATTTTCACATAAAACACCGTGGACGACGATGGCGGAATTATTATTATTTTGCACGTGTCGCGTTCGATAACTTGCGAATATCAGAAAAGCAATGGAATTTTATCGCGAAGCTCGTGCAAGGTGAATATTTTTGCGATGAATTAATTTTTATAATTTATTGCAACAATTCTCTCAATTTATTCCTTTTGCACAAGATGAAGTGATCGTTTATTTAACAAAGTATTTGCTTAGAAACATTTTAAAGCACTGAGGATAGAAATATTCCTATTATATTATTTTATATATCTTTTGTATATATATGAGTCACCTAATGTTACATCCCTAAATTACTCGAAACACTCTTTTATGTAAGAAATGCTTTGCGAGTAGCTTAAGGTGTCACAATCAAGAGATTTACGACGTATCGTGAACCAGTCTTAATTACATCTCTAATATAATTTTACATAATACTTCTTTCGAAAGCAAATAAATTCCTTTCAGAAGTTACAGAAAAATTTTAAGAGTAAACACTCTATTGTAATACTTTTGTATTGTATACTTTCTAAATAAAAATATTCGAGAATTCTAGAATATAAAAATTTTTCTTTCACATCGTTTAAGACTTTGTGTTGTTTTACTCACCTATTCGCGTATCATTAATTATTCCAAGTATAACTTCCTTAACCATTGCCAATGACGCAATACTATTTATATAAGAAACCGATTTAGATTTGAAATATGCGAACTCGTGTTCGCACAAAAATCGCTCAGCCCTTGTGCAAAATATGTTTTATTTATATCCCTTTGTACACAGTCATAAAAAAATAAAATGTATCAGATTCGCAGTTCAATCGTGTCGTATTTACAATCCTCGTTTATTTACATAATAACAAACGATGTATGTTCCTTGTTCTGTGTCGTTCTATCAACATTCGATTTTTACATGGTCCTTACGATATTCATCTCCTGGACGGAATACGATCTTTTAATACATTATATTAAAATATTTCCCAGCTCTATCGAAGAACATTTGTACATTAACGTAAACATAAATTGCCATCATCGGTGAGAATGGATCCGCGTGTGCTATGCGTAAAGGTCATCTCAGGAATCAATAGGTCGAATGTTAAAACAAAAAACTCGTAATGGCAACTGCGTGAATTATGCAAATTCAAAACGAGCCCGTGATCGAAAAACAGCGTCCTTCTCCATTCATGCACCGCGTGTAGGCACCCAATGTGATTTATAGATACACGCTTCTCCGAATTTCGAAATATGTAATGCAGAATATGCGAAACTCTACACGTTTGTTCAGCAATCTTCCACGACGGTTTCGCGCGTCGATTTTCATACATCATGCATTCTGTGCCTCGTTCGCCGGTGTTCGAAAATTTTGCCGGATGGCAAGAACGTAACGCCGACGGCAACGGTCGATTTACAATAAACAATCACGTCGACGCTCGTAACACAATGTTACAATTTCTTCCGTTCCCGCGGCGCGTATTTTCCAACCCGGGAGCTCCTTAGATCATTCGCACGATACGCGGTCGCTCGCCGAGATTCCGTGAATGTAGGATTGAGTTTAATTAGCCTTATCCTCTTCCTTTTTCGTTCCGTAACGCTCGTCCGTCATCAGTACCAGCAGTAGATCCTGAAGAAGCTCCTGATTCTTCTCGCAAATTTTCTTCAGATTCGTCAGCTCTCCCTGGACCACGGTCTCATCGGCGAAGACATATTCCTCGGCCGGTGTCCTCCTGATCGTTGAATAAGGCTCGCTCTTAAGATAAGTGCAGTTGGTGGTACTCTTCCTGCTGCACAAGGTCCCGGGCATGTTCTTCCGTTCCTTGGCGACTTTGTGGGCAGCCGACAGCAGATCGCGCGGCAATCTGGTCTCTCTAGGATTCAGTGGCCTGACGGTAAGCACGGCTCTGAGAGGAGACGGCAGCAGCAGAGCGGTCCATCGCAGGAACTTGGTCAGCCTCTTCGGCATCAGGCCCAGGAAGAGGGCGGTCTCGACGTCGCAAATTAGCTTCGTCTGGCGGACGAGCTTTGCCAGGCCGGCGGTCTTTTGCAGTCCCTTTATGTCGTGCACCGCTATGCCTACCAATAGATTCATCAGAACTATGGTGACGAACAGGAGGAACAGCACGAAGGACAACTGGGCGGAGACCTGAAGCAAGATCCAGGAGGTGCCGCCCACGTCCGTGGACTTCCCGTCCTCCTCCCCGGGGAAGAAGAGGTCCTCGAAGTTTAGCTCGCCGGTCATCATGACGAGGACTTTGATCAGACCGATGTGGGGACTGCTGAAGGACTTGGAGCGCGGGAAGATCACGCAGAAGCTAGCGGTGAAGCCCACCAAGAGGCAAGCGTACGCCAACAATAGCTTGAAGACCTGTGCTTGGACGCTAGTGAACATGGCCACGTAGGCCCCGAAGATAGGCAGTTGGCCTATCATCAGCATCAGGTTGCTCCAGCCGCAAAGAACCGCGAACGCTCCCACATGGTTCTGCCAGGGGTAAGTCCGGCCGGTGTAGATGAACGAGGTAGCGAATACGCTCAGAATCACGCACCACTCGACCATGTTCTCGGCCTGGGTGAAGAACTGGCGGACGGAGAGGTAGGTTGGGATGCTGGTAAGCTTGCGGATCGCCTCGAGGATGGTCAACACCATCAGCGCGTACCATTCGACTTCCAGCAGCGCAGGATGCCTGTAGAGGAAGCCGTTAATACCCGTAGCGTTCGCGCAGAGCGGCGGTTGCGTAGCGTCCAATTGGCCGTGAGATTCATTGTAACATTTGTGCGCTAGAGCAGTCATTACCCATCCAGTGAGTATGAGCACGTAGAACAAGTAGAAGATTAGCCTGCCCACGTAATATTTGCGGATCTTTTGCCACTTTAAGTGGAGGAACGCCTGGCAGAGAGGATGCTCTAGAATTTCCTTGTACCCTTCCTTCACGAACGTGCCCAGGTACCTGATCTCGCCCTGATGCTGGTGTATCAGGAGAGGATGGAAATCGAGCCTAAGCTCCACCTCGCCTGTGGCAGATCCGTGCTGATGGAGCGTGATCGATGTGTCCAGCCTCTGCTTGAACACATTCAAAGACGTCGGCGTCTTGCGTAGAATGATCGACAGAGCACTGGTCCCGCCTTTTGTTCTCGCGCTTAGATCGGCTCCGTGTTGGATCAGTATGTCGACGCATTGAGAAAGCTCGTTCAAAGCAGCAACGTGAAGCGGCGTGTAACCATACTTGTCGGTTTTGTTAACATTAGCCTTCCACTTTATAAGAAACTCCGTAACATCGTAGGCTAATAAAGACCTCCCCAGAGCGAGGTGGAGAGGCGTCCTCTCGTCGTTGTCTTCAATGTCGGGATCGCAACCGCCTTTCTTCAACAACACCTCTACGCACTCCAACGATTGAGACCGGGCGGCTATGTGCAAGGCCGTCTGACCTCTGTGGTTCTTGAAATGAACATTCGCACCCCTTTCGATTAGGATTTCGACGTTCTCCACGCAACTGGCCTCCGCGGCGAGATGCAGAGCGGTGTCGCCCTTTCTGGTCATCAGGTCCAGCTGACACCCGGCATCTAGAAGCACCGTTAGGCAGTCTGGGTCCCCCCTGTCTGCCACATGGTGTATAGGCCCGTATCCGTTGCAGTCTAGGCTGTTCAGAGCTGGATTTTGTGGCGCTATTAATCTCAAAACGTTCAAAGCGTTCGTCCTGGCCGCTGCGTGTAATACACTTTCTTCGGAGCATGGCGATTCCTGGCGGATTCCCAGGCGAAGGAGGTACTGAGCTACTTCAAATGCGTCTCCGAACGCAGCGTAATGGAACGGCGTGCGGGTTCGTTCCAAGCTCATGATCGCCCCGTTCGCTAGGAGATATTCTACGCCTTCCAACGAGTTGCTGAACGCGCACAGGTGGAGCGGCGTGAGACCTTGTTCCTGTTCGGTGTAGTTCAAATCAGCTCCAGACATATGGAGATTGACGATAAGATCTAAACGGCCGACGAAGCTGGCGTGCAACAGGAGAGTGTTAATTTCCTGGCGCTTGTACATCTTCACGACTCGTTGGGGATTAGTTAAGTCCAACTTGCCCGCTTCGAGATCGTCTAGGAGATGCAGCCGACCGCCCACGCTTCTCATCTGCTCCGTCAAAAGGTTTCTGATTGTACCTTTGTTGACCTGCAACATGCAATTCATCTCCTCGGTGCAGGAACTCTCGCTGGCACACATCGAATAACAATGTGGCTCCTCGATGGGCGGCGGAGTGCCATACTCTAGAGTATGCTCCTCCGACGACCAGCTCGTTTCCGGCTCGGAGCTGGGCGTGTTCTTCGTCGTCAGCCATCGTGTCAGCAGCAACGACGTCGAGGTCATCCGTTTCGGTGTCGTCGGGACCGACACCGTCACATCCTCCATGTCGATGATCCGCTCTATTTGAACCTTTTTTTTCGGCGGCGGTGACGCCGAATCACTCGCCATCCTCCGCGCTTTGTATTTTACGCGGTTACATCATTGATCTACAAAGATATCGTTATGAGTACTAATTGCGCGTTGCTTTCGTTCACGTGATACAATGTACAATGCTGCATGAACGATCCCTGAACGGAAACTTGGAATCTGATAAATATCAAGTCGAGTCTTCCGCGTATTTCTTCTTGTGTATAACAAAAATTCTTTTTACGAATATCTTGATGAAACGTGTGCTACCAATGCTTTCCAAATGTATTCCGTCATTGTTACAACAATGGTATCAGGAAGAATACATGAATAATTAATAAATGTTTTCAAACATTGTTCAGTGATAGATTTTATTAATAATTATCGTAGCGAACCGTGTGAATAATTTTACGCAAAAAACATCACAACGAAGACGAATTCTTTTTTTAGAAAATGTTAAAAATATGTGCAACCGTTAAAAATATTTTTGCAGTGGTATATAAATGTACGAAAAGAATTATAAAATTCTGATATTAATGAACGATAATAGTAGATTCGTTAAATAATTCAAGAGAGGTAAAAAAATCTTCCCCCTAATGATGATTTTTTTTAATCCTAAGGAGTACAGACAATGTTCTTTGATGACGTCTGAGACTGGTCAGAGGTGCATTGCGTGAGGCGCGAATGTCAATTGGAAAATCGAGCACATACACTGATAACTGTGAAGTGTCGCACCGTTACCTTTAAATTGATATTATTTATATACAGTTCGAGTCCTTCAAGAGCGAAGACAAGAACATTCTCGACATTCCGACGCTAATTTAGAGACACGAGAAAGGTACGTAAGATGACGTTTCCGTAAATTCCGCATTTTTTAACGATTACGATAGAGACAACGTAGTCCTGCAACAATTTTAACATTCATATAATTCTCGAATAATAATATATGCCAATATTATTATTGGAATTGGGAATCGAAGAAGAAACTCCTGAATTTTTAATTTTGTTTGCGCGTGAATATTTCGTTGATGACGCAGTTTTCATATATGTGCACGAAATTCGTAGATTTCGAAAGTGGACATGTAGAACATCGCCATAACGAAATAAATTAAAATATTAATCATTTTTAAAAGACTAGTATGTATATTGGGAGCTTCGGGATAACATTCATTAGTAAATATAAATTTAATGAGACGCAATACGAACCGAATACTTTACTTGCGTTAAAAAAGAAATTTATATAATCGATTACCATATTTATTATCACACTGTAATTATTCAAGTAAAGAATAGAAACCGAACGGACACTGATTTCTCTATAAAAATTTTCTTCTGTCACAGTAATAACAACAAAAACTCGTTTCTCTATTATAAAAATTTCCAAACAAATTCAAGTGATCTTCGACCACCGACGATGTTTACATTTCCACACTTAACACCGCCAAATAAACACTCTAAACTAGAAACTGCTACTGTTTCTCAAGACCCTGCAATCGCGAGCATAATTCTAGCACCATCAAATTTCTTAAACAAATGACATCGTTATCGCTTGTTTCACTGTTATCGTATTATGGAATTTATAACAGATTCAAGGAATGAGTTAACCGTAGTGTTCTTGGATTAAGAAGAAATCGCGGAAGACGATAATAAATCGTTTCGTGTTGTTGGATGAGAGATTCAAGGATCGATTTTTTGCAGTGGCCAATTACCAAAAGAAAACGTCGACTATAAAACCAATCGAGATGTTTCTCGCGTCCGATGAACTTTATCGATCTGATCGAACTCTCAAAGTGCCGGTGGTCTCATAACAACATCGTATGCCTGTCGTGCTATCGGACGGCTCGATTAATACTGAGCTCGGATCGAGAGCTTCCTGCATGTACCGTCTGTCCTGAGATCGTAGAGATCGCGATAAATCGCGTACATGAGAAATTCCAACGATTTCCATCAGTCTCGTATTGCTGTCATTTACAGAGATTTTCGGTCTCCATTCTCTTGCAATCTTCGATTTGCAAATTTTCTTCAAGAATTTGTTTGTGTTGTTGCCATAATTTCTTTCAAAACTCGCTATTTTCTTCCACTCGTATAGTTATGATTTTTATAGTTTAAACTACAAAATAACGAGTTCCCTTGTTTTTGTTGTTCCCCTTTCGATTTATAACTTTGAGTATTTAGCTTGTTATTAGAGAACTGTGCGCATTGTCTTCAAATTCCATATCAATGGCACTAAAAATTTGAATAATCCGTATGAAACGAAGTTCTCCTTTTTGTGCTATTAATTCTGGGTTTCCTCGAATTAGTTATGTTATCGTGGAATTCATAGATGATGAATCTTCTTTTTTCAAATTGCACAAGTTTTCATCTACATAATTGTAGCACAGTTGCAAGGTGGCGATAAGTCCATCAAATTCTTCCACGAATAACGTTAATAAATCACAGAAATATGGTTCCACAAAGAGAGAGATTTTTTTTTACAATCAATAAACACTGATAGGAAATTATACAAATATGAAATAGTTAAACTTTAGACTATTTCGGAGAAAAAAAATGTTTTCTAAGGCAATTTATAATCGCCTTCTTTGAAAAAGCAAAGTTTCGCAATTTTTCTCAGTCCTTAGTCTACATGAAAATTGTTTCCTTGATTGGCGTTAGAAAGAAGTTACAATAATGAAGATAGGAAGTACATAGTACAAAATATATCCATCATGCACATGATTCCATATATACTCATAGTAATCTTGAAATAAACATGTTCAATGTTAACAATTGTATTCAATTCTTACCTGTTACATGTTTTTAGGGCTTAGTTATAAAAATTATGATTTTTTTGTACAATAAAGATAAATATCTTTAATAAATTGATATATCTTTGCGGACGCAAATAGATTGATTGATTGGTCATACAATGTAACAAACTAGAAATGTAAAAATCTCTGAAGCGATAAGTGCAAATTATTATACACAATTTCTCGACGTTGAGAATTTGTGCAACGCACAAATCTTGAAATTTGAGTGGATATACATATATGTGGAAACATTCAAGATGTTAAAAGTGAACAGTAATTGCATGTTTTTTCTGTTTTATCATTGCTTAACTATTTATCCTTGAAATAACAGTTTTAATTAGATGCGTATTTTTCTTTATTACGCAATTTTCATAATGAACTTTGATTGATTGATTTCTTATTAATTACATTATTTAACTTAACAAGCTAAAATATATAGATACCAATACTTAAAAGCAAATTTTGATATGAAAATTTGGAATAGGAAATGTTTATCTTCTAAGTATTTTTAAAGTAACAATAAATAGAATGAAAATACAGAATATTTACTATTATTTAGTTCACTTGTTATTAAAATTATTTACAAAAACTTACCTGTTCACGGTACTGCACAGTCTCAAAGAAGGAAATATCCTTTCCGTTGATGGTAATAATTCCAGTTCCTCCGCCAGTCACTTTAACTTTTCCTATTGCAGATTTTCTTTTACATGCTAAAAAATATAGAAATTTCACTATATTCTATCTGAATGTACAGGTTGTATAAAAATATTTGCTCTTGGCTGTCATAGGCATATTCTACATCTTTGGTCGGAGATTTATAAAAGAAAGTTCCGCAAAATTGTCCTTAAACATGATTTTCAAACTCAAAGTTTTTATTATTGCATTGTATAGTACTCGTCGAACTCAATAGTTCTCATAAAAAGTAGTAGCAGCTACGTTAGTATTACACGTTAAGGGCCGCACCGTGCCGGCACCTGCGTCCGACACCAGATTCTCTGTTTACAGCAGACGCGGCTGCCACGCCAGACCTTATTATGTTGTATTTACCGTGCAACACTAATGAGTTTGCTATTATATTTGATGAGAACAGTTGAGTTTTTATCCATGATTCCTTTGACACTTTTTATCCTCATGATGTGTAGAATACAATACAATAAAAAAAGTTTGATCTTGAAAATCATGCTCAAGGACAATTTTGCGGCAACTTTTTTTTACAGATTTTCGCCGATCCGAAGATGTAAAAGACGCCTGTGACAGCCAAAACCGAACATTTTTATATACCCTATACTTTGTTTGTGTTCAATAGGCAATTAGTAAATAGAATTATTAGGAATAATTATTATTAGGAAAAATTAGGTATTAGAGATAAATAAATGTAAATATTTTACATACTTACGGTTAGCTACGACAAAAGGCCTATCATTACTATCATATCGGAGCTGTAACAAAAATATATATCATCATTCGTAAACTAAACAAATTATAATTCTGACATATATTATTATAAAAACACACCTTTGGTATCTTCATATCGCTACTAAAACTTTGCAATAATTTTCTGTATTTCATAATGAATTCAGTTTTATCAGCAGATAAGGGATGCTGTACCAATGCTTCCAAAGATTTAATCAAATAATCGTACTAGAATAATTGAAAATATGTAGTAAATCTCTAAGGAAATGTAGTATGAAATTAGAAGACAATGTTAAAGTTATATTTCACTTACATCATTGTCACTAATTATTTCTAATAACTTGCTTTCCAGTCCATCTTTTGATAACCAAGTAGATCCCAATACATCTCTACAATAATTGATAATGTTAAGTATTTTTATAAAACAAAATAAATATAATGATATTATTTTAACATACAACTTATTTTCAGGAGAAAGTAACCTTCCTTCTATAATCATTGCATCTTCCTTTTCATTTAACTGTTTTATGGACTCTGCAACGTTCTACACATAAGATTATTTTTCAACTACAGAAAATATGACATTTGTTTAAATTGTATTAAACAAATATCTATAAATTAATATTACTTACATATAATATTTCATAATAGTTAGGTTTGCAGGTATAGAATAGGAAATGATTTGGTCTACCAGTACCATCAAATGCTGCTTCTGGCTTATGTCCAAATATTTTTAGTGGATGAGTCATCATCGGACGTGCATTCTTATCATAAATCCCAGAAGGAAACAGATACCTTATAGCTCTCTATACAATTTATTAGTTTTTATTAATAGCACATTAAGTACACAGATAAAAAATTATTCTATATTTATAATAAATACAACATACTTGAATCTTTAATTCATTAAAAGATTCTGGATCTTCACCCATCATATTAGCTAAATGTCGCTTTCCAAGTTCATACTTTAATGTCTCCCTTTCCATAAATGTATCTGATAATAGTAAATAATTAATGTTTACATATATTCACGTAAATAACATCGTGAAATTTTATAAAAGATACATGCAATATTCATCTGTACAGATTGTGACTTACTATATTCTTTGGATCTCTCCAAATACAATTTCATAGCCTTACTGATTGTTTTAGTTGGCTTTTTCTCTTTTTCACGAAATAAAATTTTGCTTTTTTCAGTTTCCTCTGTGGTATAAAGTTTAGATATAACGTCCTAAAATCGTTAAGATAGTGTCATAATCAATTTTCAGGTTATAGGAACAGATTATTGTCAATGACTTAAATGATACAATAATTTCAACTCACCGAATGCCTATTTACATTTAGTACACCTGCAACTGCACTGCTATTGTTGACATTCAATAGATTTCGTATATTTGTAAAACGTGCAAACATTGTTGCAGCTATCTCCACGGTTGAGTACAATTAATTATACGTTTTTAAACATGTAGTACTTAATACAAATATATTTGATGAGCTTTTCTTGTTCTTTCAATTCATATTTTAAAAATGATGCATGTATGCTTGATAAATTTATTTACTTTCGTTCAGGTTTTGTACAGATGCTGCATGCATGCATGATACACAACATTGACGAACATACAAATGTATAAATGCCGCAAGCTTCGTCGGTATAATCATGGACGAGCAGTTCAAATTAGGTACAGAGGCAGGTAGAGGGCAGTGTAGACGACCGACGCGTCGTGACCAATCATAAACATGAAAGCATCCCTGACATCTCTGCTACTCTCTACCCCTACACTGCTGAACTGCACATTCGTGACGTCACGGATGGAGTCAAGCAGACCTTCCAGTATCCAGACCTCTTTACTACTTTCTTCCAGAAAAGTAGGAGTGGGAGAATCACCGATCACAAATGGGATTGCATGATGCCAATGGATTTCTATTGGCAATCTACTAGAATCATCCAAACCATTTGTGAGGTCTTCTCCCCACTTGGAGCAGATTCCAAGCAGAATCCCTGACACCAATGGACACACTGGCCTTGAGTGGAAATTCCACGAACGGTCAGGATGCTGGGAGGTCTGGTGGGGACGGTTGCGAAAGGTAAGGGAGGTAGCAAAATCTTGCAAAACCTGAAGTATTACTGTATGGGTGTATACATGTATATGTCACAATTGGACATTAAAAAAATGCGGCAATATTTGAAACGTATTATAGTAGAAAATTATATTGATTCATTTAAAATAATTTGTATCTATTTTGTGTAGATATTAAGATATTTCCAAAAGTTCTATGGTTAAATTAAAATTCGATGGTTTGTCATTTCTAAACAATTTTTAATGAAATATCAAAAAATATCATTAACGCTTGCGTTAATTTAGTTTTATTACTTATACTGAAATGG